TACCAAATCTACGACTTGCTATGTCATAGTCTCTTGTGTTCCAACCCACAAATGTTGTGGTACCAGTTACTTTAATTAGTTTCAATGTTGAACCATAGCATTCGTGGTGTCTTGCAACTTTCCTCTAACTGATTGATGTAGGTGTGATATAGTATTTCATTAACTGTGTCCGAATGACGCTTCCTCATTAGATTGCAGAACCAGGAAGTGATACCATAATTTTTGTATTAATTTCAAAAGGCCAAATGGAGGTTGAATAAAGACCCAATACAGTGAAAAACGTCCTTTATTAAAGAAGTGGGTCGACCTAATTGTCGCAACTTGGTCTTGTTGTCAGGGCTACTATTTAGAACGCACCTAGTCCGAAGTCGTCTGCCATAGTAGTTGTCATAATTCCCATCATCTGACAGTGGACTTGATACATTGACAAACCTTTCGCCGGCATCGTAGTCGGCATCATCAGTGAGCTTTGCCATTCTCCGCACCAAGCTACGAACTCATCCCTTATTAAGTTCTTTACCCAAGGAAGGTCTTACTATGCCATTTCAGAAAAGACAAAGCGGGAGCTGGAAAGAACGACAGTTGTAATAGACAGGAAACATTCCACGGAGAAAATGAAGAGTATCCTAGGCGACCGGAACACTTATCAAATACTAAGAAAGGATCCAACCATGAAGATCAACGGGACAGTGAAGAATATGCTAAAGGAAATGCATAATAATGGGGAAATTAACAGATTGATGATAAAATCTTTAATCAAAAATGACGCAAGACTACCGACAGCCTACAGACTATCGAAGATACACAAGGAAGGAAATCCGCTAAGATTAAGAGTCAACAACAAGCATGAAGCAATACACAAACTAAAGAAATTCATTTAATTGAAGGTCAAAAAGTAAATGACATACTCTTGAAAACCGTGAAGAATTCATATGAATATTCTCAAAGGATCCAGAACATTGGGTTGGTGAAGACGGAACTGTTGGTGAGGATCGATGTAGAATCCATGTACAAATAGACTAATAGGGCTAAAGCCTCAGAGTAAGTCTCGTGGTCATGCCTTTGCTACATGGACCGCGTCTCTAGTAAAACCTACTGTCAGCCAACTAGCTCCAATCACCGCCGTGTCTATCCTGTCTCTATCCCTAATACCAAGTCTATGACTTCTTATACCCTAGCCTCTTGAGTGCCAGCCCACAAATGTTGTGGTACTGCTGGCTTCGTTTAGGTTCAATGTTGAACCACATCGTTTGTGGGTTGACACACAAGAGACTAGGGCATAGGAAGTCATAGACTTGGTATTAGAGATAGAAAGAGGATAGAAACAGTGGAGCAAAAGACTAGGGCATAGGAAGTCATAGACTTGGTATTATAGATAGAAAGAGGATAGAAACTGTGGAAGGCTAGAGCTAGTTGGCTAACAATAGTCGTGATTCAAGGATCATGTTTATGATCAGACACGTCTATTGTTAACCAAATGGCTTTAGGCTCCACGACGCCTATCCCGTCTTCCTATTTCCTAGTCTCTTGTGCGCCAACCCACAAATGTTGTGGTTCTACTTGTTTTGATATGGCTTACTGAAGATGTCGCCTCTTGGCTTCTGATTGTTCTTTTCTTAAATAAGTAGGGTTTCGAGACTACCAGTAAATCAGTGTAATGAGATGTATTCACCCTATTTCGTGTAAG